AAAAAAAAAAAAAAAAAATTGAAGAAAAAAGAAAAATTTATGTCACGAAAAAAGGTCACATTACCGGCTTATTCAGTATTAATTACAACATTATGTTGCATAAAATAATTGCCAATGCGTGACAGCAATGACGAATGCATGTCAATTACGAAAGAAACCATGCAACGATTGGAAGCGATTAAATTAATACGAAAACAAATGATGGACATTTTCACGCGTACGTTCTCGAGACTATTTTGAAAGAAGGGTTCCCTCTAGGCCGTAAGGAACGATCTTCTCTGATCGTTGTGATTCGTAAGGGAGTGCCGATACACACCACTACCGCTACCTTTCCTCTCGTCTCTTTCTTTTTTCCCTGTCGGGCTTAGCATCCCTAGTGGCGCCTCTCTCAGGATATAAATTAATTAGATTTGTGTGGAGGTGTGTCAGCAAAGTGCCGGCACTGTGTTTCTTGCCCTTACGACTGTCTGCTCTCCGCCGCGTTTCAACTCGACCGAATGGCCTACTCTCCGCTGTATCTACAGATGGTTTCATAACTTCTCCGATATATGTGTACACGCTTGTTCCGCCGCATATATAAAAATTCCAGCCGGTTTCCTTTAGATTAGTCACGCCGTTCCGATCGAATCCATTTCGAACCCATTTGAATTTCGTTTGGGTACACGCGGCGTGATGAGGGATGAAGTTCCAGATGAAAAAAATAAGTCGAAGGGAAAGGATAAACGGATGAAAACCGCGGTTCCCGTGTTTGAAAATGTAGTAAAAATACATTCTTCTATCGTTAATCTTCTATTAAACTTGTAGTGATGTATACACCGGATACATCGTTGCCGAAGAAAGACGAATTTGTGAAGACTGTCTTGAACGTATGAACGAGAGGAAATTTGGAAAAATACTCTTGAATTTAAATAACTATATAAGATTATTGTCAGAAATGTAGAATAGAATTTTTCCATTTGGAATCTCGTTTTCAAATATAAATAGAGTTCGAACATGTTTAGTTAAAAATTAGCTTATCGTCTATTAATAGACGTGACATACTTGAAAGCGGATTTTTCAAACTCGATTCTCTCGGAAACGAAGCCTCGAGGAATAAAATTTTTTCGCGTAGAACCGTTCCGTTTCGCGATCGCGCCATATCTTTCATGTGGAGCTGCGAATTATTAAAACGAAGAAAAACGATAGCAGATTTACGTGCAAAACGTTCGCAGACACTGCAAGCACGTCTATGATAATACTTGCAAATAACTTATATTTTACGACAACACGTCGGAGAAACGAGGAGACTTTGCGCCAAGTTTTTACGATGGGAATTTATTAAGAACACGTGTAACACCTTTGAAGCGACGTGTACGTCGACAGGTAGGTCCGAGCACAACGCGTGATGTATGGTGGGCGTGAAACGAGTATAGCAACATAGCAACATAGTAACGTTTGCCATATCGGCGAACGACTGACTAGCGGTTATCTAGACGAATTCGTACAACCGAATCACGACTCTAGAATTAAGCTTTGCCGATCCCACGAATATCGATTCCTCGCTCTGACTGTTAAATTTCGATAGTTCCTGGCGGTTGAACGACAGTTTTAACGTTTTAACCCTCTGAGCGGAATTTCATTTACTTTTGCAACAGAGAAAGAAAGATTAAATATTAACGTACCTGTCGCGTGTGAAATAAAAGTATACTTATTCAATGTGTAACTCTCGAGTGCAAAATTCAGAAACTGTTAACAAATCATTTGGCGTTTTTGTAATATCGAAATGTAATAGTGAAATACGATAAACGAGTGAATTTCAAATGAATCATCGCGATGAAAATTTCGTTTCATCTTATGTTATCTATTACTAGTGTTATGTTCTATTGTTTCAGTGTTTGCCAGAGTGTAGAACGCACGACCACGTTCCTCGAGCTTAGCAATGAAATTTATCATTCGGCAGCGCGAATTCATTTTTTTTTTTTTTTTCAAATAACACATTGACATGTTGACATGTTGACTGCCACACAAAAATTACACGTTCTGCCCAGAATATTTAATTATCATAAATTATTACGTTAAAAATGCAAAAGCGTATTTTATGCGGTTTGAAATTGTATTTTGTCAACAATATTCATCTCGCGCCAATCATTCTGAAATGTTCATAGGAATATTATATCCCGGTAACCACGGTGGTTAATCGAAGGTAAAGAATGGAAGAAAATGCTAATGCAATCCGTTTGCACGTTCCCTATCGATAATTACCTATAATCAAATGATCAAATGAACCTTTTACGCTGAACTTTAAATCGTCGCGACATTGTCGTTTCTTCTTCGGTTTTGTCCGACACAAGTCGACATGACACACGTGCAGGATGCGTGTAACGAGATGCGATAAAACGGAGCGCGGGTAAAAAACTTCATTTGTTACGCGTCGTTTGAACTAACGGGTGTGATTAAAGTAGAAATGAGGAAAACGCCGGAAAACAAGAAAACGAATAATCTCAAATAGATCTGCTTTGAAAGATACTTGTATAATTATAAACGTATTTTAACAATATCTATCTTAAATTTATCTATCTTAAATATCTATCTCAATATTTATCTATCGTCTGTTTAGCCATACGTTTGGTTACAATGTAAGTTTCAATGCATGGAAGGAAGACAGATATGATCTATTAAATATCATGTCACAGATCTGTACGAAATTGTAGGGACACTCTCGAGTAATAACTTGTTTATGATTTATCGTCAAAATGAACTGTTTATAACGATATTTAGCGCAGTGTATATTAATAAACTGCAGACTGCAAATTTCAACTTATGCCAATATATTCGCGAAAAACATTCAACATATCATAAACATAATTTGAAAATTGACAATATTAAGATACATCTAGCAAATTTGTTATATCTGGAGAATTCTATTGTTAGAATGAATCATTTGTAGCGTATTTAACGTGTTTAACACTTGCGTACATTAATAATCTACAATTTATTCCAATTTATGCGGGAAATACCTGAAGAAATCAAGTATGTAGAAGAAATCATTCCCGTTCGTAAGTGTTACGGCAACTAAGCGTCAGCTGAGGTTGTACAGAACGTGACAATTGATCTAGATTAGAACGATTTTTATAGTCACGCGAGCATATAAAATCGATCTAGAGCACATAAAAATATTTGCAGACGCTAATTTGCAATCTTTATGTGTGTTGAATAAACAATTATCTGTTACTTCTCGCAATCTACTGATCCAGCTGATAAGGCACAGATTGCGTTCGATAGAAAATTCTGGGAGCGTTTAGAACAGTTAAGCTCGATGAGATTTTGTGAAATCTGGTATAATAAATATGACAGTTGTACCGTGTGTAAAATATAAAAATTTACGAAATATTCAAAGCGCAGTCTCTACGATGCAATCTTATATTTCAATGGATACAAATTAAAGAAATGAATTTCAAGTAAAAATTTGTGCTCCACTTTAATTTGTGCTCTATGACTTTTTATATTTTTATCAATCGTATGTCGTGTTG